GTGACAAAAAGTACAAAAGATATGGACATACATGCATTAGGATCGTGCGCAATTCGGTTCTACCCAATAATTATATCGGGTAGAAGTGTCTATAAATTTTATACCCATACAAATATTTATAAGGTTTCAGATCGGGTAAAGTTTCGGATTTCTGTCTTTCTTAGGTCGGATACAAATTCATATACTCGGGTTGGGTTTTTATGCTCACGCCTAGCAGGAGTTTTGAAAGGAACCTCCAAATCAAGAGAAAATGAGATTTATACCATAAATATAATAAACCGGAATTACTCCTTAACCAGTCTAAACCGGATGCAAATACATCATAATAAAAGACCGCCATTTTCCGCTTCCACTCTCTTCTTCGCTCTCGATTATCCCTCCTTTCACCGCAAAACCATTGCTTTCCCGGCTGTTCCGTTTCGTCTCCGGTTTCAGGACTCAAACAGTTTTCTCCACGGAGAAATCATCCGCCGATTCTTAAGTATTTGTCTTTACCCAAATCTATCTTCTGTTGTTTGCTGTGGAAAAATGTCCATCACCGTGTTTCTGGGGTTCCAAATTTAGGATATTTCGCTTGATTTTGTGGAAATAAGCTCAAAGATTGTTCCTTTAACAGTTTTCCAGACTGAAAGATTGTTGCTTTAACAGTTTTCCAGACTCTTTTAACATTTTCAAAAGTTGGGGTTTTCCTTGAGAAATTTCAAGGTTTTCTTAAGCTTTTGAGCTCAAATGACTCAAAGATTGTTCCTTTAACAGTTTTCCAGACTCAAAGATTGTTCCTTTAACAGTTTTCCTGAAAACTGGGGTTTTCCTTGAGAAATTTCAAGGTTTTCTTAAGTTATTGAGCTCAAATGACTCAAAGATTGTTCCTTTAACAGTTTTCCAAACTCAAAGATTGTTCCTTTAACAGATATATATCCACTCTTTTAACATTTTCAAAAACTGGGGTTTTTCCTTGAGAAATTTCAAGGTTTTCTTAAGTTATTGAGCTCAAATGACTCTGTTTCTGTTTTTATTTATATCTGCTAAGTCTAACAAGGTGTCGTTGGTGGTTTTTAGGGTTTTTTCATGGAGAAACAATCTTCATCAGACATTCTACAAGGAGAGATTGATGCAACTCACCGAGAGATTGATGCAAGTCAGTGTATTGAGCTGCCAGTGCCAATATACCATCCTGCCCATGTTAATAAGCTGAAACAAATGCTGAGCATGCTGTGCTTGAAATGTCTAAAAGTAAAGCTAAAGATGGATCCGAATCCGGTATTTACTTCACTGAGTTTTCTTAAATTTCATCTTATTGATGATCCACACACATATAATTTGATAGAATCTAATCATAAACCATATAAAATCTCGACCAATCTTTTTCACCTTTCTGATTTGCAGATGCTCCGATTTGGTAATTTAGGTGTCTGCTGTGAGGTCAGTAATCCCATATACATTCTGATTTTTTCCTTGAAAGCAAGTTGCTATATGTTTCTTATGAGACCCTGCTTCAACATGTAGTTAGTTCTCCAAGTCCTTCATCTAGTTACATGTTTGGAAACGTGTTAATTCAAATTTAGAATAGTTATTGAGCGTCTGTTGATCCATTGATTGATAACATTGATTCAATGCTTTGTGAAGCAATATTTATTGGTATTTTCGTCAGACCATGGAACATCCACTTCTTATATGTGTTTTTGGATCATATTTTGCTAATATTCTTGGACTTTTAACCACTGAATTACTATAGGAAGCGTCAACCATCTCAATCAGAGAGGAAGCATCGGATGGTGCTTCATATCTAGAACTGTCTAGCTCAGGACTATGCTGGAATTTCCTGGGAATATATGGTTATCGCTATGGAAGCGATCAGACGCGGCCCCTGCTTGCGAGAGAGGTTCTTACTTTCTTCTCCATGCTTATGTTTCTGTTCAAATTTTGGTATACTTAAAGGTTTCTTATTCAAATCAGTTAACATCATTGGTTATAGAAGCATGCTAAGCTTTTCCACATGCTGCTAAAACAAACAGGTACAAGAAATTTTAAGACGAATCCCCAAAGCAACAATAAGGTATCTCACAGCAAACGGATATGATCCTCAAGCAGAATACATACTGGAATATCTTGCACTCCCGCCTAACTGTTTGTCAGATGAATCTGATGGTCACTGCACCACGTCATCGGTAAGCCAGTTGAAACTAGTGTTGAGTTTATTGAAAAGCAAGACTTGTGTTTGGAAAGCAAGACTTGCACTAATGTCGCTCTTATTTTCAGGATCTTTCCAGCATTGAGCTAAAAGACGTTCTTCAGAAAGTGGAAGAAATAAGAAGCTCTAGGTCAAACTTTGAGTCTCATAAGGCTGACTCCGATGACATGTTTAGAGTGGTGGATACTTATCTGAAGATGAGATATGGGCCGACTAAGATCCCGGACAGTTCCTCTTCAAATGCTACTCGTCTTTATGATAAGAAGTTAAGTAAGATTACAACTCTTGTGACAAATGACATAATACATGGGGTGAAGCCTACCGACACCATGTCACATGGTGGAACCAATATCAACAAACTCTTTGTAACAAGAAAGTCGCTGTCAGAGGGAAATGTTAATTATTTGGTGTTTGAGGGTGTTCAATCCAAAACTACAGTCGCAATTAAACGCGTTCTGCGATCTCATGAGGCTGATGCGAGCCGGGAGGAGTATTCTAACCAGCGGCAATCTAGTGAAGATTCTGCAAATGTCTTGAGTGTATTTGATTACATGTGTGACTTGACTTATGCGTATTTGATACTAGAGTATGGGCCGTGCAACTTGGAAGACATTGTGGAGTTTGCTAAGAAAAAAACGTGGGCAATCAATGATCCGTCAAAGATGAGTATAGGGTCTTTTCTCAATAAAGAGTGGGGAGCAAAAGGGGTGTTGTCACCTCTCAAACTGAAGCTGATTAGGTATGAATAAGCTATATATTAGGCTGATCAATGATCACGTATGAATGTTTAGTCTAAAAAGTTCTTTCAAATGTTATCAGGGATATTGTTAATGGCGTTAAAGATATGCACCAAAAGAAAATAATACACCGGAAGCTACAACCACGACGTGTCCAAATCGTAGTTCGAGAATCGCCCACCTTGACTGCCAAAATCACTGGATTTGAAAGCAGTAAATACATCGGTGGTGCAAACACGTCGTTACGCTTCCGTGATGGCATTGCCACAGGTTAGACGTTCTCTAAATTGCTTATCAAACCCATTAACCGTATCAATTGCCTTAATATAATGTTACGTTGATTTATATATCTTTCTGAAATTGTTTTACATATGCAGATCGTACTCAGGAGTGGCTGGCTCCGGAGCAGCTCCGAAAAATGGATGAGACTTATGCAGTTGATTTATTTAATATGGGTTGTCTCATCCATTATATCGTGTTTGGTTCACATCCATTCGACCATGGAGATGGGAGTAATGTGCTTGATAACATCAGGCTCAAGAAAACCAGTTTCCTCCGACAAAAAAAAAAACTCACTCCCGAAGCTACTCATCTTCTCCAGAATCTGTTGCAAGATGCTCCTAGTTTACGGTAATTCATATATGATATTCATTCTCAAATTCGTGAAAGAACTCCATATTTATGCAATTTTTGTTTGTTTTGATTACAGCTTAAGTGCAAGGCAAACCCTTGAGCACCCAATCTTTTGGGATGGTGATACTAGGATATCTTTTTTACGTAAGGTTCAAGAGTTATATAGAGATGGGAAGATGCCAACCCTCCTTTCGCACATGAAGACCAAGGAATTTTATATTCACGGTAATGAGCTTTTGTGGAGTACCAATTTAGATCAGGCGTTTTTAAATTACCTCAACAAGAAATTCTCCTACACCTATTCACACTGTATGGATCTGCTAAAACTCCTGAGGAACACTAACACTCACTTTGATGGTCTCCCTGCGGATGTCAAGGAATGTCTCCTCTTTCTTCTTTTTCAAAGATTACATTTAACTTTTTTTACTTATTTTGTGCAGCTATTCATAAACATTTTTTTTTGTTGTTGTTTGATTTTCAGGCACTAGTGGGAACGAATCCGCAGGGACTTGACACCTACTTTACTAAAAAGTTCCCTCTCCTACTAATTGAAGTCTACTCCCACGTGTACCAACATTACACCACGCAATCTCAATTGGAAAAGTTTTTCTGTTAGCGAAATCTTTAAATATGTGTTTTAGGAGAAAAATAGTTTGTATTTGTGATTGATACTTTGGTATGAAAAATATATGAACTTAAACAAACACCGATTGTAAGGTTGGGTTTGCTGTTTTTAAATTTTCTTATTTATTAGCGATTTGGTTTGTGACACAATACACCTTCAATTACGACATCACTTGGTAAGTGATAAAGCTATGGTTAATATGC